CTTCCCCCCCCACCAACCCAGGAAAGGCAAGGGCATAGGCCACAGAGGTTTTCTAATTTTTCCTTTTTTTAAAAAAAAAAAAAAATTTTTTTAGTTGGGTGTTTTTTTTTTCCTTCTGTTTCTTGGTTGTTTTTGTTGCTGTTGTTTCTCTCTCTGTGTTTCCTTTTCTACACACTCCTGGATACTCAGGTTGAACTTCAAGTTTGGAAAGAAACACACTTTTCCATCAGATGACTAGAAATCACTGCACGACCACAAAAAATATGGGAAAGCAAGAAAATACCTTCCCTCTAAGGGAAAAGAATAACTCCTCTTCATCCACAGACAGTTCAACGGAAATCATGGATATGTCTGATAAAGAATTTAGAACATTCATAATGGTGAAGCGAAAACAGATGGAAGAGAAGAGAGACAATGAACTGCAGAAGAGAATGGAGAAAGGAGCTGACGAGTGCCGGGGGGTGAGGAAATTCATGCAAGATCTGAAAGAGGAATTACACACTTTACAAAAGAATCAAATGGAACTGTTAGAGATAAAGACTGTAATACAGGAAGTCAAAATACCTCTTGAAAGTATTATAAGCAGACTAGATCATACAGAAAATAGAATCTCAGATGTCAAAGAGAAAATTGCTGGCCTAGAAAGATCCACCATGAAGACTGAGAAAATTGCCCAGAAATTTGAGAATAATATACGAGAAATACTAGATACCATCACATGTCCAAACATTCGGATAATTGGCATTCCAGAAGGTGAAGAGACCCATAAGGGCACTGATAATCTATTCCATGAAATCCTGCAAGAAAACTTTCCAAACCTAGAGAGGCATTCAAAGATCCAATCCCAAGAAATACAAAGGGTCCCAAATAGAATCAACCCAAGAAGATCTTCTCCAAGACACATTATAGCCAGACTGACCAAAACCACAAAGACAAGATACTAAGATCGGCAAGAGAGAAACAGCAAGTTATCTACAAAGGATATCCCATCAGACTAACAGCAGACCTCTCATCGGAAACAATGCGAGCAAGGAAAGAATAGGAAAATATATTCAAAGTGTTAAAGGAAAAGCAATTACAACCAAGAATATTGTACCCAGCAAGATTGTCCTTCAAATGGGAAGAAAAGACAAGAACATTCTCGGATAAACAAAACCTGAAAGAATTTACCAGCACCAGACCAGATCTCCAAGAAGTTCTCAAGGGAGTGCTATGTCAGTAAAATTAAATGCAGACACACAGAAATAAGAGTTCAAAAACTAAGAAAATGGCTAACTTAATCGTAGGGACAAGGCTGGAGTTGAAATATTATATCCCAAAATTCAATTGGGAAGACTGAACCACAACAGAAGATAGATTAAGTACATGAGACTGAAATGGTGAAATAGCATTCTGTGACTTTTGACTAAAATATTGCTACTTTTCTTCTAGGCTTTGTGGTCTATTTTTAAGAGTTTTTATCCTGTCTTGAGCTGTCAATAGGTTCACGTACCTACTACTTGAACATGATACTAACTTGTTTGCAGGCTTTACATTTTAAGAAAATTACCTTACCATTTCAAAACTGCTTTTCTTGAAATTACCAGTTGAACTTGCTATTGAAAGTAGTTAGATTATTTAAGAAATTATATGATCAAAAAAATGTGGAGGGAAAAGGAATGGAAGACAACTGTAGACACCAGAGTGTGAGAAGAGGGTGGGAAAGGGTAGAGGGTCAAACATAGGGGTAAATAAATATATAAAACTAGAAATGGAAATTTATTGATAACATGCATGATTAAGCCACTATGCAGTATATTCTGGATGGATAGCCATTTTGTATGCTATGACAATGATTAGGGAGTGAATGTAAATTAATTAATTTTAAAATTTTTTTTCAAGAGAAAAAAAAATCATGAAAACTATTTTTCATGAAATTAAGAAAAAAGGTATATTTGAGGACTACAGTAAGCTATATAGTCCCAGCTGGGTGCCACTTTGTTGTTATGTTCATCCCTGTTCACTGAAGATTATGCCTAGGGTCAGACTTGTGTTCATGGATATGTATATATCAGCTGTGCTTGCTATTGGAAATATGTAGATTAAGTTCTTCAGCAAATAAATAAAATGGAGGTAAAGGCATAGAAAGCAACCATGGATACCAGAGATAGTGTGGGAGGAAGGTGGAACAGGGCAGATGCTGAGAGATAGGGGATCAAGAATGGCAAAAATAACAAAATATACAGGAAATAGGAAACGGAAAATTGTTTGTTGACGATAACACATATGTTGATGCCCTTGATTGAGCCAATATACAGTGTATTCTGGATGGGAAATCTCATTTTGTTTGCTGCGATGATGTATAGTGAATGAATGTAAATTAATAAATTTAAAGAAGAAAATTAATTAATTTTTTTAAAAAAAGAAGTCCTCGGGGCCCAAGCACCTCCTAGACCATTCTCTGCCACCCCTAGGACTCGGCCTCTTCCCACGAACTAAAAGAGTAGCTTGTGTGTATCAGTATTTCAGAGAGCAAAGTTGAAAGAAGGGATGAAGAGCAGTAAGGGGTATATGCCTCTTATTTTTTTTTAAGATTCTCGGAAGTTCTGTGTAATACTTGTTTATATCTCATGGGTTGGAACTTACTTGTTTGACTATACCTTCCTATAAGAAAGGCTGGAGAATGTTATCTTTATTTTGGGCATTCAGGCATCCCAGCCAAAAATTGGGAGATATTCTGGAAATCTCCAGAAATGTCTGCTACACAACTTCTTCAGTTTTATGTCATATTATCCCATAGGGATACTCACCAGGCTACAGCCACACAGACTTCCTTTGTTCCTCATTAAGCCAAGCTCTTAACTACCTCAAGGCCTTTGCCCTTGATATTTCATTGCCACGCATCTTTCCTCAGATCTTCACAGGACTGGTTCCCCTCATCATTCAGGACTCATCACAAATGCCATTTCCTCAGAAAGACCTTCTTTAACTACTGCATGTGAAGTATGCCCACCCCCTTCACCATTTTCACACTGCATTGCCTTTTTTTATCCTTTTGTTAGAACAACTCAGCAGGGGCCAGAAGGTGGCATGGTGGTTAAGGGACTGGACTCCCAGATGGCTGACATGATTCGAGTCCTAGACTTGGTGGCTTGAAAATCACACTGAACACGCGTGCATACATACGCAAAATCTTGAGAGGAGAATGGAAAAGAAGGGACTGTGGCATGGCCCTCCTACTGGGGAGTGATTTCTCACTTTACATCTCTCTCTTTCTGGTGTGTGCATGTGCCCTATGGCAAAACCTAAAACAAAACAATTAACAAAATAAAATTCCAGTTTATCTTTGGACAACACTGTTTCTCACATACATCAAACAGAACAAAATAAATAAACAGCCACTTTATAGACAAAAAAAAAAAAGAAAAATAAATATTTTACCTTTGGCCATTTTAACCACCTCATACAAACCAACTACTTAGAGTAAAGCTAAGTATATACAGTTACTGGAATGCTCCAAGTAAGATTGTTTTGTTGTTGTTTTTTGTAATTATTATTTAATTTTGTTTCTGTTATTATTTTTAAATTTGCTATAGGGCACATGCACTCACCAGAGAGAGACTGAGAGAAAGTAAGAAAGCAAGCCACCAGGTCCAGGACTCAAACCATGGTTGGCTATGTAGGAGTCCAGGCCTTAACTACCACACCAACTGCCAGCTATTTTTGTTTTTCTTACAAGGTCTTTTTTTCCTTAAGATTATAATAACCAGGGCCAGCAGGTGGCCTGGTGGTTAAGGGCACTGGACTCCCACATGACTGTCCCAGACCTGGCAGCTTGCTTTCTCATTTCCCCTCTCTCTTTTGCTCTGTCCCTCTCTAGTCAAAATAAAATAAAGTAAAATAATTCTTTTTTTAAAAAATTATAATGAACATGGTCACACCACAAATAAAGTTGTGGATAGGACAAAGAACACTCTGAAGGGTGGTTTGGTCATCTCAGATCATTAAAAAATGATTGACCCTAGGGGCTGGCAGGTGGTATGGTGATTAAGGACACTGGACTCCCACATGGCCAACTGTGGTTCAAATCCCAGACCTAGCAGCTTGCTTTCTCACTTTCCCTTTCTGTCTCTCTCACTGTCCCTTCCTAGTCAAATGAAAATAAAAATTAATTAATTTGGGGGACAAGCACTTGGCATAATGTTATGTTGCTGGACTCCCAAGTAGTCAACCTCAGTTCGAGTCCCAGACCTGAGGACTTAAATTCATGCTGAGTGCATGTGTGTGCGTGCCCAGGATCCCAAGAGGAGAATGGAGGAGAAGGGATTGCTGCGTGGCTATCCCCCCGGTGGGTGATTTCTCATTTTCTGTCTGTCTCTCTCTGTCTTTCTGGTGAGCGCACCCACACTATAGCAAAAACTTCTCAAAAAAAAAAAAAAAAAAAAAGCTCCCCGTTTTCCTCACTGGCATTAGCTGGGACATCTTTTCCATTTTCTGCTTCCTCTACAAATTCTTTCCTCTAAGTCCTTGGTGGTGTGATCTCAGAATTGGTGTCCATGTAGCCTCTGACATGGTAGGGACACCACTGATCTGATGCAGAGGTTTAGAAAAACAGAGTTTGACTGTAGTGATAAATATGCCAGAGCCAGGACTGAGGAACAATGCAAAAATGGCTTTTCAGATCACCCAGTGGGGACATTGCCTTATTTTTGTTATAGTATTTGTCTCTATTGAAATTATTTATCTTTTGCCTTCCTTCACTAGAATACAGTTTCCACTAGACAGGGACTTTTTCTTTTTCAGTGCTATATCCTTACTACCAAATGCAATTCTAAGCATATGGTAGGAGCTTTATGTTAGATGAAAGAATGAATATCTTACTCCAAAGCCCACGCTTTTCCCACTACCTCTGCTGTTCCTAGCATATCTAAAATAATACTCTATTCCAGAAGTTAATCTTCATCTTTAAAAAGATAGCCTATTATAGTTACTTTCTTTCAAACAATATTTTTAGAAACATCCTTTCTCAAGTAAAACAAAATCTTACACTCAGTAAGTAAAAAGAAGCAATTAAGATATAACATCATAGGCAAGTTTTTTAAATTGCTTGGTCTTGGTTTTCATCTGTAAAATGGAAGTATTGGTTAAAATTCCCTTATCTACAGATATTTACCAACCACTGTTCTACACTGGGGACATAAAAGATTAAGCAAAAAATAACTCCTGCCCTCAAAAGCAGCTCACAGATGCCTTCCAACTCTACAAAATCTGTATGATCCTGTATAATTGCTCCTTTGTATTCTCTGTGCTAGAGAAAAAGCCCACCATGTTACACTATTGAGATATTAATGAAAAGATATTAAGACACAGATAAACTCATTGATTCATTTAAAATGTGAACATTTAATTCAGTACTGCAATAATAGAATAGTATTAAAACGCAGAAGCATATTAGTGGTTAAAAAAATGTAGTCAGTCTTTAATTTCCTTTTAAGAGAACTTAATTGCCAGTTTTCTATAGCAAAACAATGCTAGGAAAATGTCTTTAGAAGACAGAAATTCTTCATGCAGTTCTAAAATGCTTAAAAGGAATTAAAGGTTTTAAAGACCCCAATATCAGAAATATACAATATTAACTACATGTCATTTGAATCTTAAAAGTCTGACCAAAAAAAAAATGTTATATATATATATATCTTTTTTTTTTTAAAGCTAACCAACAAATTGACAGCTCAGCATCTTCTAGAAACTGGCATCTCAGATCATCACAAGCACCAGCCTGTGGCTCATCTACTACCATGTTCTTTGTTCTTCTAGATCCTTCTTGGCTTCTATTAGGGCAACTCCAAAAACACTGGGGAAAAAAAGATGCAGTGATAGATGCTCCCTTTCTCCTCCAATCTCTCTCAGCATAGTAGTTAGGCAAATAAAGAATAAAGGGTATACTTCAGGATGACTAGTGACCTGGTGGTTAAGGAGGCTGGATCCCACACAGCCAAATACAAAGTTTGAGTACCAGACCCAGAGGCCTGAAAAACATGTTGGACGCATGTGCATGCCCAAACGCCCAAAAGAATGGAGAAGGAATTGTGGTGTGGCCATCCCCCTAGGGTTGCTTTCTCACACCCCATTACCCCTCTCTCTACCAAACACATGCACCCTCTAGCAAATTTTTAAAAACATGAAAAAGAAAAGGGTACAATCCATAATTTATATTCCACATGAAGCCTCACTCAATTTGAAAAATTGCCAGTTCTGTCAAATATGCCAACACTCCAATAAGGTATTTATGACATAGAATCTGTAGAAAAAAAAAAGAAAGAAAAGTAATTTTAATATTAGAATACTAATTGTAATAAAGCAGTTTGATATTTAAATGATCAATGTTAAAACATTTGTCTATTTTCTGGAATTAGTTCATTAAACTTTCCATATGCAATAAATACACTCTCATTTTTTACACTGTCTATTGTATTTCCTTCCTTTTTTTTTTTTTCCTAAGGAATTGTTTTATTCAACTTTACTTACTTATTTCAATTTGACCAGAGAGGGACAGAGTGAGAGAGAGAAAGTGAGAAAGCAAGCCGCCAGGTCCAGAACTTGAACCGTAGTTGACCATGTGGGAGTCCAGTGCCCCCAGCTATACTACCTGCCGGCCCCCCTTTTGTTTTTTTAATGGTAGCCTCCTCTCATCAAAATTACTTCCTAATCTACTGCTGCATTATGACTTCCAGTTCAAAAAAGTACTATAATAGTACAGTCCATAGATAAAAGTATGGACTTCTTAGAATCTAAGAGATAAGAATTAAAACTTTTTTTTTATTCTATGAGGGAGAGAAACAGAGATATAGAACCCCTGACATGGCCTCAATGCCATGATCCACCCTCAGCTTTTGCCAGGTAGGATTGTGGGATCCTCTTCTTCTTTTTAACATTTATTTATCTAATTTCATTTATTAGTATTATTATTTTTTTTTAATTTGATCAGAGAGAAAGGGAAAGTGAGAAAATAAACCACCAGGTTTAAGGATTGGAACCAGTCAGTCACATGGGAATCCAGCACCTTCAACCACCACGCCACCTGCCGGCCCCGGGATCCTCTTAATAAGCTATTTTTTGCATATGTCACTAAAAACTAGCTTTGTCTCAGTTTCCTTGTTTTAAAATAAAATGTGAAGGACCAGCAGACAGCATGATAGTTATGTTTCTGGACTACCATGTAGTCAGCTGTGGTTCGATTTCCAGACTGGTGGCTTAAAACTCACCCTAGGTGTGTGTGTGTGTGTGAGCCCAAACTCCCAAGAGGAAAATGGAGAAGGAATTACAGCATGGCCATCCCTCCAAGGGGGTGATTTCTTGTTTTCTCTGTCTGTCTCTGTCTCTCCAGTGAGCACACATGTCCTATAGCAAAAAATCTCTCTAATAATTAAATAAATAAATAAAATGTGAATTAAAACATAACTACAGAGTTGCTCTCAACATTAGAATTAAGGTCTATTAAACTCCTAGCACACTGACAAGACCATAAGCAATGTTCACTGAGCATATATTGTGGCTGTGTTTTATAACATACAGACATCCCCCAACTTATGATTAAAACAGTATCTTGGGGAAGCTGGGAGGTGATGGTTAAAGTGCTGGACTCCCACGTGGTCAACTGCAGTTCAAGTCCTGAACCTAGCAGCTTGCTTTCTCACTTTCCTTTTGTGTCTCCCTCTAGTCAAATTAAAACATAATAACAACATATAAAAATTAAATAAACAAGTCTTAAAAAAAAAGTCTTGGCACCTGTTGAAATAACCACTTTATTTTGTAAGACAAATAATAATGGGATTGAATATATAAAAGAAAATGAAATGAAAAATAAATTAATTTTAAAAATTAATTAAAAAAAAAAGTCTTGGGGACAGCAGGTGACATGGTGGTAAAGGTGCTAGATCCTACACGGCTGACTCCACAGTTCAAGTTCTGGACCTGACAGCCTGAAAAAACACACTGAGCACATGTGTGTGCATGTCCAAAATCCCAAGAGAAGAATGAAGAGAATACATTATAGCCATCCACCCTGGGGTATGATTTCTCACTTTTCCTCCCTCCCTGTCTCTCTCTGGCAAGCGCACGTGCCCTATAACAAGAACACAAAACAATTTAAAAACAAAATGTCTCTTACAGTAAGCCCTCCATATCCATGGGTTTCACATTCACAGGTCCAGTATCCATAAATTTAACCAACCAGGGTTTGAGAATATTTGGAAAAATAAATTGCTTACATCTGTACTGAACATGTGCAGGCCTTTTTATTGTCATTATCCCCTAAACGATACAGCATAATAACTATTTACATAGCACTGTTAGGTATTATAAGTATAATCTAGAGATGACTTAAAGTATATGGGAGGGGGCCAACAGGTGGTATGGTTGAGGTGCTGGACTCCCACAAGCCAACTATCATTCGAGTCCTGGACCTGGCAGCTTTCTTTCTCACTTTCCCTCTCTCTCTCTGGAGTACACACATGCACTACAGCAAATTATAAATAATAATAAAATAAAATAAAATAAAATAATTATTTAAAAAAGTATGAGGGAGGACTTACAGAGATTACATGTAAATATTATACCATTTAATAAGTACTTATGTATTGTCAAGCTTTTTTTTTTTTTTTAAGAAAGAGAGTTTTGCTATAGGGCACATGCACTCACCAGAGAGACACCCCCTAGAGAGGATGGCCTCACCATAATTCCTTCTCCTCCTATCTCCTCTCAGGATTTTGGGCATGCCCACATACACACCCAGCATGAGTTTTAAGCCACCAGGTCTGTGACTCAAACCACAGTTGACTACATGGGAGTCCAGCAACAAAACCATTATGCCATCTGCTGGTCCCCTTCAGGTTTTGATATCTGTGGAGGAGTATCTGCAGATACCAAGGAATGGCTTTCTTTTTTTCTCTATGGGGACAGAGAAGCCTAAGATAACAAGATAATATCTTAGATCTGTGTTTCTGGCTCTAATTTTCTTACCCAACACACAAAATCCTTGCTTACTTTCACAATTACTTCAAAATAACACATGAAACAACTTGGGAAATTTCAAAGTTGCTATAAAATAATAATTATTATTACCAAAGTCTGTAGCACATAACCTGTAATGTCCTTTCATTATAAAGCTGCAGCTAACAGGCTGAAGACTTTGGTAAATCATGTATAAAGCATAAAATAGTCTCTCTACTGTCATGAATTGGCATACATTCAAATGTGTTTCTTTGAGGTGGAAAATATAATCATCATACATTTTGAAGACCCTGTAACAATAAGGAAAATAAATAATATAATTAGGCATGTTCAAACTAACCTTTATTTTTCCATCAGTATGTGCTGAAGCTACGGGTGTTGAAACACGAACCAATCTTGTGGCTGATAAATGAATTTTGAAATGTCTATGGAAGTGTGAATAAAGACAGTCCATGAATAAGTCAACTTCCTCCTGGGTAACCTCCCCAGGTGTTTTATGGACACTGTCCCACAAAGCTTTTGCATCCTCTGGATGTATTGCATAAGAAATGTCTAGTCTTTGAGGACTACAGGGTACAGACCAAAGAAATTCTGTAGTAGCCATATAATGGTCCATTTTGCAAGCAGTCCACATAGCAGCCATCCAGGAAAGATTAAACGCATTGATCGCTAAAGGACTGAAGTAACAATCAAAGGTTTTCTGAAACCAAGTTCCAATTATGGCTGTGTTAGACTCTGCTCCATTTGCAAGGAATAACGGCAGACAGGTGAAATCTTCTGAAACAGTCTCTGGAAGACTGTCTCCAAATACACAGCAGAACCAACCAGTCCACAACGCCTTCCCTTCTCTGTTCTCAGATTGTGATTGAGATTTTGACAGAATCTACAAAGGAAAGTAAAACAAGTTCACTAGGCTCAAAAGTACATTTACTCCTAAATTAGATCTCAAAATTAATCAGTACATAAGATTTGATTCATTACTTAACAACAACAAAAAACAATCTCCCTGGTCATTATTAGAGTTTATCAAAATATTAATAAGTGATCTTTCTCCCAATGTTCTTATACAGTGAAGACAAGGTATATAGCAAGATCTTAGTGCAACCAAAATGCAAAATAAAAGATGCTAACATGTCTTAACCAAGTACAGTATCCTGAAAAAAAAAAAAAAAATCTCAACTTCAGAAGTGACTGTAAAAGGTCACTAAATGCAACAAAATGGAATTGTTCTATTGAGGAAGACTCAATATTTCTTAAGGCAGTTTTCTATCAAGTAAAATGTTCCTTTTCTTAAAAAAGAGGTTTTTGCCTTAGAGCACATGTGCTCACTTAAGAGAGACAGAGCCAGTGAGAGAGAAAGTGAGAAATCACCCCCTTAAAGGGAGTTGGGCACCAATCCCTTCTCCTTTCTCCTCCCAGGATTTTGGGCACTCACGCACATGTGCCTGGTATGATTTTCTTTCTTTTTTTTTTTTTTTTAAAGAATTATTTTATTTAACTTTATTATTATTATTTTCCAGTTTGATTAGAGAGAGAGAGAGGGAAAGTGAGAAAGCAAGCCACCAGGTCCGGGACTTGCACTATGGTCTGCCACGTAGGAATCCAGTGCCTTGAACCACCACACCACCTGCCGGCCCCATGCCTGGTATTATTTTCAAGCCGTTGGATCTGGGACTCAAACCGTAGTTAGCCAAGTAGGAGTCCAGCAATGTAACCACTACACCATCTGCTGGCCTGAATAAAATGTTCTTTAGATGTCTTTAAATATTCTTTAAATAACATCAATTAAAATGTTCTTTCTTAAGTTAGGTCTCACAGTTTCTACCTACTGGGCCTGCTTTGTTCCTTATGGGCATACAGAACAAATCAAATTTAATATTTCTTCTATAGGAAAAGCCCTTGAAATAGTTTATGGTCTCTGTCATATATACACACTCAAGTTCAACATCTCCTCTGTTTCTTCAACTATTCCTCCTATGATAAACATTAATGTTCTCTTACTATCCTGGTCATTCTTTTCTGAAATTCTTTTGCAAAGGTGTCATCATTCATAAGCGAACATAATTACTTCAAAAAAGATCTTATTACAAGACTATCATCATCTTTGACCTAGATAACACTATTAATGTAAATTCAGACTGCTGTTTTCTGATTTTCAGTTGACGGCTTTATACAAATTAACACTATATAGTCATTTTTACTGTTAATAAATTTATATTGAAGCATTAAACTTAATCCTACTACGAATTTTAATCTCTGTTAATTTTGGCCTATTGTGCCAATTCACTCAGATTATTTAGGATCTTGATCTTGAAATGACAAACATGCCTTCCAGATATTTACAAAAGTTTTGGTTAAAGTACTGATCAGACCAAGGTTAAATCATAGCCAAGTATCATATTCCTTTAGAGATGATAATTCTTTCAAAGAATTATTCATTTTATTTTTTATTATTATTATTTTTAAATTTGACCAGAGACAGAGAGAGAAAGGGAAAGTGAGAAAGTAAGCCACTAGGTCCAGGACTCAAACCACAGCCAGCCATATGTGAGTCTAGCATCTTAACCACCACACTACCAGCCGGCCCCTAGAGATGATTATTTATTTTTTAATTTTATTTATTTATTTATTTTGATAGAGGTTTTTGCTATAGGGCATGTGCGCTCACCAGACAGAGAGAGACAGAAAAGCGAAGTGACTTCCCAGGGGTGATGGTCACGCCGCAATCCCTTCTCCTCCATTCTCCTCTCAGGATCTTAGGCACGCACGCACATGCGCCCAGCATGAGTTTTAAGCCACCGGGTCCGGGACTCGAACCACAGTCGACTACGTGGGAGTCCAGCAACATAGCCATTATGCTAACTGCTGGTCCCTAGAGATGATTATTTAAACAGTTACTTTGGGGGTGAGCTGGTGGTATAGTGGATATGGCAGCTGGATCCCACATGACCACCTACATGGTTCAAATCCCAGACATGGAGACATAAAAAAAACATGCCAGGTGCATATGCGTGCATGTCCAAGATCCCAAGAGGAGAATGGAGGGGAAGGGATTGCAGTGTGGTCATCCTCCCCGGGGGTTTATTTCTTATTCCCCCTGACTCCAGTTAGCACACACACCCTATAGTAAAAACTAAAATAGTTATGTTTACCACATTTCTTCTTGCTCAAAAGATTATCAAACACCTTAAAGTCTTAGATATATAATGTTCATTACACTTCCATGACTATAGTAGGAATTCGGGGGATCATTTATAATCCCCTCAAACTTTTGCTTTACTAAGGACATACTAGTCACAAAACTCTTGAGTATTAGCTGCTTCACTTAACACTGAGTGAGTTCAGTGAAGCAGCTTAAGACACTAAGACTAAGTGTCTACCCAGTGTCCAGTTTTCCTTCCACAGCAAAGCTGGCCTCAGGGCCAGCAGATGGCATAGCAATTATGGTACTGGACTCCCACATGGCTGACCGCAGTTCAGGTCCCAGACCCAGTGGCTTGAAACTCACACCAGGCGCATATGCATGAGTTCCCAAGATCCTGGGGCGAGAATGGAGGGGAAGGGACTGGGGCATGGCCATCCCCCTGGTGGGTGATTTCTTACTTTACCTCTCACTATCTCTGTCTCTATTCCTGGTGAATACTCGCACCCTAAGGCAAAAACCTCTATGAAAGAAAAAAAAAAGTAGTCCCTTTATTGAAAGTGGCAAAGTACCCACCAAAAAAGAAACTTTTACAGTCTCACTTACAACTCAGATGTAAATAGAAGTTGTTGGGTCTCAGTGAGATTTACTTTTTCTTAGGTACCCTGTTTGTCCTTTACATCTTCCTATTTCCTACCTGTCACTTGAAAATAATAGTGAGAGCTGTAGGGGCCATCTTAGATGATAAGGTGACTTTGAGGATCAAAACCACACGTTGAAAGTAACAGAAGAAGATGGAAGAAGCTTAAATCTTTTCATCAAGCACCATACCAGCTTTCAACACTTTAGAACATCTTGAGATCCATAACATATACAAGAGTCAACAAATTTTTCTTTTCTTTTCCCAAGGTTTTTGTCATAGGGTGCATGCACTTGCCAGAAAGAAGAGAGACAAAGAGATTCAGAGAGTGGAAAAGTGAGAAATCACCCCCCAGGGTGATGGCTACACCACTATCCCTTCTCCCCTTGGGATTTTAGGCATGCACACACATTGGGTTTAGCATGATTTTCAAGCAGCGAAGTCTAAGACTTGAACCATGGTCAGCTATGTGGGAGTCCAGCACCTTAACCACTGTGCCACCTGCTGGCCCCCAGCAAACTTTTTTTTTTTTTTTGGAGAGTTTTTCGCTATAGGGCGGCGCGTGCGCTCGCCAGACAGAGAGAGACATAGAGACAGCAAGCAAGAAATTACCCCCCAGGGGGGGATGGTCACGCCGCAATCCCTTCTCCTCCATTCTCCTCTTGGGATCTTGGGCACGCACGCACACGTGCCCAGCGTGAGTTTTAAGCCACCGGGTCCGGGATGCGAACCGCGGTCGACTACATGGGAGTCCACTGACATAGCCATTACGCTAACTGCTGGTTCTCGCCCCCAGCAAACTTTTTAATAAAGGGCCAGATAGTAAATTTCTTAGGCTTTGCAGGCAATATGCTCCATCACAACTATTCAACTCTGCTATTATAGCCCCAAAGCCATAGACAATACATAAGCAAATGAACAGTGCTGTTTTCCAATAAAGCCTTATTTATAAACATTGCAAGCAGACCAAATTTGGCCTACAGCCCATAGTTCACCAACTTCATTTATACAAACAAGCAAAAACTCATGCCTTTTCAGCTTCTTGGGAATTTTATTTCCTCATCAATGATTAAGGTTAATTAATTCAGGCCAACAGGTGATATGGTGGACTCCCACATGGCTGACCACAGTTCGAGTCCTAGACCAGACCTTGCAGCTTGCTTTCTCACTTCCCCTCTTTCTCTTTCTCTCTCTGGTGAGCACACATGCTCTATAGCAAAATATAAAATAATAATAATTGTTTAAATAAGATTAACTCAGAAGAAATAAAAGTATCAAGCATGAATAATAAATAAAAAACTTGGTTATGAATCAAAAGATAATTCTTTTACTTTCAAACACCACTGACAGAAAGGAAATGCACATGGGTCGGCAGGTGGCATGGTGGTTAAGGTGGCTGTACTCCCACGTGGCTGACCATGATTCTAGTCACAGACTACCAGCTTGCTTTCTCACTTTCCTTCTTTCTCTCTTTCTCTCTCTGGCCAACTTTTAAAAAATAAAATAATGACAATGAATAAAATTAAATAATTCTTTGTTTTTAAAAAAGGGAAATGCTCAGCATTACATTTCTGAGAGTAATTGTCATGATGATGTATCACAATGTATAATACTTTTTTATTACTAAAATTCTACTTCTAAGAACTTAATGCTAGTAGAAACCACAGAATTATAAATATTTATAAAAATGTAGAATTCCTCATAATCCGAGTAATGATCTATAACACTGATTAGTAAAACTGTCGTAATATAGGTACCAGCAGGTGGCAGAGTGATTAAAACATTGAACTCCCACATGGCCAACTGCAGTTTGAGTCCCAGACCTAATAGCTTGAAACACACCAGGCATAAGTGCAGGTATGTCTGTGCGTGCCCAAAACTCCAAGAGGAAAATGGAGAGGGACTTGCAATGTGGCCATCCCCCCGGGAGTGATTTCTAACTTTCTCTCTGTCTCTCTGGTGAGCGCACATGCCCTATAGCAAAAATCTCTCTTTTAAAAAAAACTGTCAGGGGACCAGCAGTTGTTATAATGGCTATGTCACTGGACTCCCATGTAGTCAACCATGGTTCACGTTCCAGATCCAATGGCTTAAACTCACGCCAGGCGCGTGTGCATGGGTGCTCAAGATCGCAAGAAGAGAATGAAGGAGAAAGGATTGCAGCATGGCCACTGCCACACACACCCCCACACACACACCACCAGGAGGTGACTTCTCACTTTCTGTCTCTTTGTCTCTCTTTGTCTTTCTGGCGAGTGCACACGCCCTATGGCACAAACCTCTCAAAAAAGTAAAAAACTGTCGGAACCAGCAGATGCCATAATGGTTATGTCACTGGACTCCTACATAGTCGAACAGGGTTCAAGTCCTGGACCTGGCAGCTTAAACTCATGCCAGGCACGTGTGTGTGTGGGGTGTGTGTGCCCAAAATCCCAAAAGGAGACTGGAAAAGGGACTGCAGCATGGCCATCCACTCTGAGGACTGATTTCTTGCTTTCTATCTCTCTGGCAAACACACATGTCCTATAGCAAAATAATACACATGTCCTATAACAAAATACTCTCTTAAAAAAAAAAATCATGATACAAAAGTAGGGGCAGTATGATCTCAAATTTAAGGTTATACAGATAAAAATAACCAAATACCAAAATGTTTAAACACAAGTTAAATGTATATAAACAGATACATATCAAAATGTTAGACTTTGATTTTTTTTTTTTTTTTGAAGAGGTTTTCGCTATAGGGTGCGTGCGCTCGCCAGAGAGAAACAGAGAGACAGAAAGCGAGAAATCACCCCCCAGGGGGGATGGTCACGCCGCAATCCCTTCTCCCTCTCGGGATCTTGGGCACGCACACACACACGCCCGGCATGAGTTTTAAGCTACCGGGTCCAGGACACAAACTGCAGTCGAGTACATGGGAGTCCAGTGACATAGCCATTATGCTAACTGCTGGTCCCTAAACATTGATTTTTAACTTTCTTTGTAGCTTTATTTTTTTTAAGTTCTATAATAAACATGACTTTGTACATTCACACACAATTTCCTACATACACATGAAAAAAATGTTTAAGTCGCCATATCTAATCATTATAATGATTAAAATACAATTTCCGAACCAAGATAATGCAGATTCTTTTCTCTTAGCAAGCAAATGTTCCTTATATACTATACCTGAACAAGAAATGCTTCAGGGTCCCTTTCTGTTCCTTTCATTCCTAGGAGAGTAGAAAAAATCACTTTGATGTTGCAGTCTTCTCCCACTTCCACAGCAAGTCCTTTTTGTTTTTCAGCGGCAATAAATGCACTCAAAAGTCGAGAATACTCTTTGAGATTAGTATAAGAGAATTTATATAGGGGAGTTAAACTATATAAAGTCCACTGTTTATGTAGAAGGAATGCAACTTTTTGAGGATCAACATCTTCCTAAAAAAAAAAAATCAAGAAAAAGTTTAAGAAATGGAAATCATTAGTAAGAATTTAATCATACTATTTTAAGCATTTAATACGTATCTATTATAAGTATTCCTTAATCAAAATGCTTGGGACCAGAAGTGTTTCAGATTTTAGAGTCTGAAATATCTGTGCACGTATGAGATAACTTGGAAATAGGACCCAAGTCTAAAACCAAAGTTCATTTATATTTTATATATACCTTACACAGTGTGAAGGTAATTTTATTTATTTTTAGTAAGTATGTACATGGAACAAAGTTTGTGTACACTGAACTATCAGAAGGCAAAGGTAGGACCAGCAGATAGAGTAATAGTTACATAGCTGGACTCCCATACATTGCTGGACTCCCGTGTAGTAGACTGCAGTTTGACCAGGCAGCTTAAACTCACACTGGGCATATGTGTATGCAAGCCCAAAATCCCAAAAGGAGAATGGAGGAGAAAGGATTGCAACAAGGCCATCCTCTCATGGGGTAATTTCCCCCTTTTATCACACTGTCTCTCTGTCTCTCTGTCACCTGCACACCCCTTGTAGCAAAAATCTCTCTTAAAAAAAAAAAAAAAAAAACAAATCAAGTCAATTGGAAGAAGAGTTCAAAATTTCACCCTTATTATATTTGAAACTTCATATTTTCTATGTTTCTCATAAAGCAGAAATATGTTCTATACACATAGAAATATTTGAAATAATATGGACTGCACTTTATAAAATAAGCCTATAACTTGAACTTGAAAAACATTTACTACTTCAATCTGTGAAGATTAATATAAAAATTACTGTGGGCTCCCCATGTGGGTATATAACTTACATAATATCAGCATTAAAAACCAAACTCACCAAAAAGAATATTTTATATTTCTGAATGCACTAAAATAAGAAATCATTTCAGAAATATTATTTCTATATTTTTTTAGTTAATTGAAAGAAAATGTATCATTGGAAGTTGCATTTAAAAAGAAATATTAGGGGCCAGCAGTTAGCGTAATGGCTATGTCACTGGGCTCCCACGTAGCCGACCACAGTTCAAGTCCCGGACCCAGTGGCTTAAACTCACGCCGGGCGCGTGTGCGAGCCTGCCCAAGATCCCGAGAGAAGAATGGAGGAGAAGAGATTGCGGCATGGCCATCCCCCCTGGGCAGTGATTTCTCGCTTTCTGTCTCTCTGTCTCTCTCTGTCTGTCTGGCAAGCGCATGCACCTTGTAGCAAAAACATCTCCAAAAAAAAAAGAAAAAGAAAAAAAAATTAACAAATGGAAATAAATAATTATTTTTAAAAAAAGAAAAAGAAAGAAAGAATTCAAGTTAAAGAAGGCTAAAACATAAAGGAGATGGTACTTATAGTATGAAATTAGTTTTTTAATTATTCTTATTTTGTCAGCTGAAGAGTTAAGAAGAAACTAAAAATACTAAAAACAATAACGAAAACTAAAATGTGGGACCAGCAGATGGCATAATGGTTATGTTGCTAGATTGCCACGTAGTCAACCGCAGTTTGAGTCCTAGACCGAGAGGCGTAAAACTCACACTGGGTACACGTGGGTGCATGCCCAAAATCCCAAGAGGACAATGGAGAAGGGATTGCGGCATGTCTATTGCCCCTGTGGAGAAAGGATGATTTCTTGCTTTCTGTCCCTCTGTCTCTTCAGCGAGTGCATGCACCCTATAGCAAAATTCTTTCAGAAAAAGGAAAAAAAAAACATAAAATGATATTATCAATTATTGGCTAACATGTAGGAACACAGAAAACATACCTCCAACTGTGAACACTGAGGAATTTTCCTTCGAGGTGGAGTCGAGACAAATGAAGTCTGCTTTTTGACTGATTCCAATCGTCTCTGCAGAGGGGTAACACCTATAAAGTAATTTTTAAGCCTTGAAGAAGCACTGTGTTCAGGAGTCGATTCTGGTGTAACGTAGGGATCCATGATCTACATAAAAAAGAATAAAGCCAGAATTCTGAACACTAAAATGTTAACTCACAGTTTCACTGATTCATCTCCTCACTATAAAGGAATTCTTCCTCTTTCCTTTCCAAATTTTGACTTTTCAAGCAAATCTTGTATTTTTCGCTGGCTACAGTCTACTTTTTTTTTAGGAGGTTTTTGCTTTAGGACGCATGTGTCCACCACAGGGGAAGGAGAGGATATTGCGAGAGAGACAGAGACAGTGAGAAGGAAAGTGAGAAATCACCTGGGAGGGAGTATGCCACAATCACTTCTCCTCCATTCTCCTCCAGTGATTTTGGGCCTGCACGCACACACGCCCTATTAAATAGTTACCCTTTAAAAATATTTTTCACTGGGGCCAGGAGGTGGCATGATGGTTAAGGTGCTGGACTTCCACATGGACGACTGCACTGAGTTCCAGACCTAGTGGCTTGCTTTCTCCCTTTCCCCCTCTCTCTCTGGTGAGCACACATGCCCTATAGCAAACTTTTAAAAATAATAGTAATAAATAAAAATAATTTTTAAAATTTCACAAATGGGGAACCAGCAGTTAGCGTAATGGCTATGTCGCTGGACTCCCACGTAGTCGACCGCGGTTCGTGTCCCGGACCCGGTGGCTTAAAACTCACACCGGGCGCGTGTGCGTGCGTGCCCAAGATCCCGAGAGGAGAATGGAGGAGAAGGGATTGCGGCGTGACCATCCCCCCTGGGGGGTGATTTCTCGCTTTCTGTCTCTATGTCTCTGTCTGTCTGGCGAGCGTACACGGCCTATAGCGAAAATCTCTCCCCCCCCAAAAAAAAAAAATGAAAATTTTTATTATTAAAATAAACAGTAATTTAAAGTTCAGTATGTCAAACTAGGACACTCTATATCTCACACAAAACTTAAGTTAACATACAATCCTCAAAACTCAGAAAATACCCAGAACAAGATGATATACCACACAATTTAAGTAGCAACTACTCTAAAACATTCTAGTTTTTTTTTTTGAGGTTTTTGCTATAGGGCGTGTGCGCTCGCCAGAAAGACAGAGAGAGACAGAAAGTGAGAAATCACCCCCCCAAGGAGGATGGCCACGTCGCAATCCCTTCTCCTCTATTCTCCTCTATTCTCCTCTCGGGATCTTGGGCACGCACGCACACGCGCCCAGCATGAGTTTAAGCTGCTGGTTCCGGAACTCAAACTGCAGTTGACTACATGGGAGTCCAGCAATATAGCCATTAGGCTAACTGCTGGTCCCTAAAACATTCTAGCTTTAAATGCATATGGAACTATCCATTTGACAGGGAATAGGGAATGTTAGTCAGTCCCATTTATATAGAATATTTCTTTCTGTTTATTTACTTATTTGCCAGAAGGCATGTGCATTCACCAGAGACAGACAGTGTCACAAAGAGAAGAGAAAGTGCCTCCACCCCTTATCCTTATCCTTCATTCTTCCATCCTGTTGGGATTTGGGGCAGGCATGTACATGCTCCTAGGCTGTTTCTCAAGCCACCGGGTCCTGGACTCGTACTGTGTGGTTGGCTGTGTGAGATATGACTCCCTTAAACACTAGTCCCAGGGCCAGCCCCAATCCTCTATCATCTCTAAGCTCTCCTACACAGGATTCTTTTCTTGTACCAATCAAGCATATTCTAGTATTTCTAACACTAAAAATATTTTTTATTTAAATCGAATTCATCACATTGCTTTCTGAGACCAATCTCCTGGAAATGTAATATACACTTACTGCCTATACTTATTAATAAATATTTTAGGGGTCAGCAGGTGGAAGAGTGGTTAGGATGCTGGACTCCCACATGGCTAATAGCAGTTTAAATCCTGGACCCAGCAGCTTGTAGACCATGCCAGGTGAGTGTGCATGCCTGTCCAAAATCCCAAGAGGAGAATGGAGAAAAAGGGATTGCAGCCTGACCATTCCTCCCCGCTTGGGGGTTATTTATTTATCAATTTCCCTCTCTCTGTCTCTTTCTGGCGAGTGCACGCACTCTTGAACAAAACTCTAAGAAAAATAAATTAAATATATGTTTTACTAGAAATCTTCAGCTGTCTCTCTTCTATATCTATTATTATAAACTGTACTTTTTTTTTTTTTTTTTTGTATC